GATTCGAGTAACTACGATTTCAGTTTTCAACGATTTCAGTCGTCGCTTTCAAGACTCTGTTTCCTTTCTTGCGAGCGAGAAGGGCCTTGAGATTTTCCTTTCTTGCAAAGAGTACATAAAAACATATTGAGAAACCATTGAAAATATTCGAATTTTGCAATAGTATTCGAAGAAATTCGAAAAAAAAAAATATGAATTTTTATTCCAAATGATATATTATTGACCAAACGATAGAGACGTTTCAATCAAGAGGTCTATTGTCTTTTCAGCAGGCTCTTGTAAATCTTGTGAATGAGTCTTTTTTTGAGCATCGTATTTCTTAAAGTAAAAGTAGTCTTTCTTTGTTCACCTCTCGAGCACGTATCGCCGTATTCACTAAAAAAACAAAAGACAGAATAGTAAAAAAAAAAGAGAACGTTAGAGAGGGAACGTTCGCCAAGAAAGCGCAAAATTTGTGTTCGGTTTCGTATACGTGAGTCCGAAAACGTCAGTTCGTTACCCTCTTTCTCGTGCTTTATTTATTAGGATCATTCGCCTTTTTCGATACTAATACGTTTTCGATCACTTGTTGTTCGTCGAGTTAATGTCGATTTAATAGACGAGTCGGTGTTGATAAGGGTATCCCCGTGATTGGGAGCTTAATTGAAATTGAGCCGCGTTAGAGTAAGGATCGTACGCCTGTAAAACGGAAAATAAATATCAATACAATTCTAAATATGAATTTTAATCTTCTTTTTAAATTTTTCTTTAAAAAGACGAACCGATATCAATTAATTTTTTTTCAAGATGTTACCTGCGAGCGTTTCCTGGAGATCATAAACCTCTTCTCGGGAGCACTGTAATAAGTCTGTTGAGGATAAACCAAACCGTATTGAGGGCTGCCGTATTGAGATGTTGTATCGTATTGCTGCCCGTACTGGTTCTCGTATTGTTCATAATAACCGGATGGATGGGTACGAATGATCCCGATGTCCGATGGTGACAAAGAATCTAGGCTGTAGTGACGAGGAGGATACACCGAGGAATCCATCCACGGAATAACTTTGTAATATTAAAAGTCGTAACATTAATTTATCAAGATATAAATCGATATGCAAGGTATGAATATATATATATGTATATTTTTTTTGGACTTACTGTTTCGAGAATCCTCTTCCTCGAGAAGATTGTCTTCGTCATCTACATTTTCGTATTCCTCGTTCATATATTTATGCCAGTTTCTACGAAGATATTTTTAAAGATAGATTTAAGATTTTTTAAATTTATTTTTTAAAAAATTTTTTTCAGTTACTGATGTCAATGGTATTAATTGTCCTTACCGTTTGCGACGTTCGTTTTCCCACAAGGAGAGAAGAGTTAAAACGTCTTCCGGATCGATATCCAATTCCCTCTTGAATCGTGGTTCTTGATAAATGGGAACGCTGAAAATTCGAAATTAGATAAAATTTTTATCATATTCTTCTTTTTCACGAGAAAAGGAAAATGGTAATTTTTAAAATGTTGGCAATAGTTCTAGCATTTCGATTCACGAGAAAAGGAATGATAATTTTTAAAATGTTGGCAGTAATTAGCATCTTGATTCCGTATTCTCGACATCGATTTCCTATTGGTTCGAGGTTTAATGTGAATTTGTTGCACGTAACCAGATCGTGATGTGTCATAATACTTTGAATAAAAAAAGACGAATAAGAAAATGATATATTGAAATAATATACGAAGAGAAGATTGCACGCGTTTGCGCTGATAGGATGTTGTCCTAGGTCAGGTCCACCGAGCATGCTTGGTACATGCACTGTTAAAGATGATCGATATGATGGTTACCGACTAATATCATCAGCTGATTGGTTGGTCATATGCCAAAACGATTCGATTCGTCAGGTGGTTTCATTCAGCTTTTCCACTGACTTCATTAGTACATTCATATATATATAAAATAAGCCGAAAAAAAAAAGAAAAGTGTTCAGGGTGTAATATAAATAATCATTTAATATAACGAAACGTTTAAAAATTAAATAGATAGAAACAAGCAATCTGTTTCCAATTCTTAATTTTAATATATATTCGTTGATATAGCGAAGAACGAAGAAACAGAATCACAGACATATTAAAAAAATTTAAGATCATTTGTTTGAAACTTAACTTTGAATTCTATAATTTGCATATCAAAATATAAATTTTTATTTTTCTTTTACGTTTTCTGTTAATTAATAATATAAATAATGCTTATCGCATAATCTTGTCACCGGTTGAATATAAATTCTCGGAATAAAACTCCGAGAATTATTATGCATTTCATGGAAGTATCGACGCTAACTAGAAGTCTATTCTCGTCGGTTGATTAACTGGTGATATGTCAAGTAACAGTCAAGTTTGACCTACTTTTGCTGGCTGGTTCCATTCAGCTTTTCGTGGACCCACCCCTTAGAAGTTACCCTATTGCGTCACAAGTATCGAACGTCCCGATAACTGCACCAAACTGTACATGTATACGTATTTGTTCGTCTGTGTGCGAGTTCACGCGTCCACCTACGCGTTCGAAAACACGTACACGCCCACGTGAACAATTTATTGGAAAATTTTCCAACTGACGTGATCATTTTGTGTGTTAAATTTGTACAATTTTTTTTTCAAAAGTAATTTTTTTCTTAATATTTATATTTATATGCAAATATACGTATTTTTGCGACAAGTTTATTATTTCCATTATCGATTTTTGCAAATTTTAATTAATTCATTTTTTTTTCTGAGATATGAAAAATTCATTAAAAATATAATTAGGTATGGCTTTTAAGTTAATATTATTTTTTTTCTGTCTGTTACTGAGAATATAAATTAATTAAGATTTAATAGTTAATTTTTCGTATTTTTTTTAACACCAATAATGAAAATTAAGCTCGTTATTATTACAATTATGCGATTTTTACAAGATTTATAGCCTTTTAAATCTTGGCATTTTTTTTCTATATAATAGATATTATTTCGTTTATATTATTTTATAATATTATAAATAAAATGACCTGTGACATTTATTTACAGGTCAAATAATATACACTTGGAACTACGTTGGCGCATAAAAATAAAAGTTTGACGTAAGAAACTTAAAAGTAATTGATCATGCTGTGACGTATAGTATAGAACGTCATTGTCTCTACGTCTTTTAGTTAATGATGACGATTCTATGTAAACGTGGTGCGCTATAAATACCATCGATAGCCTTCGTTATAAAACTATCGACTTCCGATTTGAATTGGAACGTCTAGAGTTTTTCTTATAGTATCGTGAACGTGTGTACTGTAGATTGTTAAATGATAATAATAAAAATATAATAAATAGAAAAAAAGAAGATGAATAAGGAAAATAGAGAAAACTATATAAATTATATCCTTTTTTTTTACAGGTATTCTAGTCTTTTTATAATGCCTCTTCATCACAATCTACGAATTATTATGACGAAATTAATGAGAGGAATCGATTGTGGTCAACTTTGATAACGACAGCTTCTCCTCGTATTGAACCGACTTGGTCGTCAAGTCTACTGGCGTTTCTGCCGAGGGCAACGCCCTCGCCAGCCCTCTCATCCCCATTCAGAAGAAACGTCGAAGAAAAAGAGGGATGTTCCGAGTAAGAGAACGGGAAGGGAAGCTTTCGCAGGGGTGGAAATTACAGACAAGTTAGCGAGTCGATTCACTGCTCGAGGCAGTTCGTTCTACAGGTGAATTTATCCAATACATTACAAATGTTGAATCTGCATGAAAATGCATTCAACAAAATGTAAGCAATATGATACAATTACATTATAAACGGTATTCAAAATTTAAAACGGATTAATAAGGAATTAAATATAGTTCATTGACTAAGAATTTTGCATAATGAACATTTTGTTTGTCGAATGAACGACTTTCTTCTTTCATTATCTTTATTTATTTATTTATTTTATTTTTGTGCATTAATCTAAAAGTGCAATATAATTAAGTTTGACTTACTTTCTCTTCACTTGCGTCTGCACAGATTGCTGAGTAGATGTTGGAGACTGGAACGAAGTGGTTGATGGTTTTATAGTTGTTGATCCTGTGATAGCCGCTGATTTCTCGGATCTTTTCCGCCGTTCTTCGTTCGTGTAGTAACGAGAGTAGGGCGAACTATCCCATATCTGGGGTATTTCGTATCCCAGTTCATTTACTGTTCCATAACTGAAACAGAAATAAAGATCACACTGCTTAACTTTAATATTAAATTTTAAAGGTAAAATTTGTTAAATTTATTAATGTTACTTACTCGTAATTTTTATGATCATAGAAGGCATTGTTAGGTGTATTAGAACGAGAGGGTTTCTCTTCTTCGATAAGAGCTGCTTTTAATCCGCCTAATCCTGATGCAGCTAGAGTTCCTTAGATAAACATAACATCATAATATAAATCAAAATGCTTAAAGATTGATAAAAATGGTTAAAAATATTTGCTTAAACGTTTGGATCCTTACTTTTTTCAGCGGTAGACGAATATGATGAGCTTGGATTATTCTCTGGTTGGTGATTCTGTTGGTTGCCGAACATCAACATTTCCTGTGCCCGTTTAGCTGAAGTCAAAACGAATATCATTAATCATCGTTGATTTTATATAAATAACATAAGATAACATTTTGCCTTACATTTTGGTCTCATCGTTTGTTCAGTCTTTTTTGTATCTTCTGCCAGATTTGTTGGCAAAGATTGGACAATCATGAGGAGAGAGCACAGAGTTAGTAACCACACCCAATCGCACATCATCTGTAAAAAAATTGATTTTTTATATTAGAATTTAAACTTTAATTTAAACTTTAATTAATTTTATACTTGAAGAACAAGTATATATTCTTTATTGACTAAGATTATGCAAAGGTTTCTTGACCCTTTAATCAAACATGAAATTGATTGTAGTTAGAAGAGTAGGGTCGCTATAAAGTGTTTCCTTCGTGCACAGACGTTGACGTTTACACCCCTTGCAAGCGCAAGTAAATGAAGATAGCAGGTCACAACGAAAGAATCTTAAATGTCACATAATGCGAAATGTCAGGAATCTATTTCCATTGCATGTGAAAAATTAAAGGGCATATATGTCGGAAGTTTCATAGGTGATTGTAAATGTTTATACGATTTTATAAAAATTTCAATTCACAGGGATATAATAAATCTCGTTCTATGAAAAATTATATCTTGATTTAGAGATTAGGCGAAGAATTTAATTTATGATATTAGAATAAAAAAATTTAATTCTCTGCTATTTCAATTATATTTCTTTTTTAACGATGAAAAGTAAATTAAATTTATTCGCATGGAAGTGGAATTAATTTGAGTTTATTTATTTATTTATTACGATTACGTTTCACAAGTAAGCGAGTATCAGATGCTTGGAAACTTTATGGTCTTAACAAGTGACAGATGATAATTTAATCACAAGCGACATACGCTCAATTAGTTTACATCGATGCACTGGAGTTATCGTTAATTAGAAATGCAATTAACCAAATCTCAGCAAAGGGTTGTTTCATAATCTTCTATTTCGTAACAGGTATTCCATTAATTTGAAATGTCAGAGTTCAAAAAGATTTTTTTTAATCGCACATAGTTACGTGATTAATACGAATAATGTAATAAAACACAAATATTATGAAAGGTTTAATCTACTTTTTTCATATTACTTTCCCTCTTTTTTCTTTTCGTTTTAAAAAATTCATCTGAAAAATATTAATACAAATATTTCCTAAAGATTTTAAAGATGAAGAAATCTGGAAAAAGAGTTTGAGATTTAATACTTGATATCATTGAACAATTAAAAACTGTCCAGGAAATAAAGGTAAATCGGATATAGTAGACCCAGAAATCGCACACTTGTTGCATCTAGAAATACTATAGTCATTTATCGCGTTGTATACGCGTCTATGTAACTCGCAATTAAAAATACATTTCATTGACTGTGCTTTCATTGACAAATCCAGATACTCAACTCGTAAAAACATCGATATCATCTATCTTAAAAAAAAAAAAAAAATGTTCCTTCTTTCGAATCTTTATCTCATCGACCATTTTAAAAATTAATTAGATTTTCGTACTACGTTTTACGTTTAAAATTTAAGGATATCTCTTCCTTTTGAACGAATGCAACGCATATACGAAACAAAACTCTTTGAAACTCTTTGAGAAGAATTTTCTACGTATATATATACATTCGAAGGTTCAAGGAAACACTATATCGATAAGAGATCTTCGTGACCAAGCAATTTCTATTCTCGTATTTCTATTTATACGCGAACAATTTTACACGGGTCTTTATCTCACGAAAGTTAGGGCAAATTAAATCGATCGACGGGGATCACCAATTTCTAATTCGAATTTCCCTCAAACAGAACTATTTGTATAATAATAATAAATATCGAACGATTGAACCAAGAGTTCTGTTCACCTTTCTGTTTTCACCGTTGACTGTTTTCTTCTTATTCTACAGATTTCTCAATCTTCAGACGATTTCTTCTTATCTGGGATGCGATTTCTCCCAGGAGGATGAAGAGAACCAGCGGGTTCGGCTGATCGAGGTAGAATGAACGTTGGGGCTGAGCAGGACGGCTAGAAAACTGGCGAGAGGGTACGGTCGATCAACCACCCCCACCTTAGTGAACGAGCACCCCTACCCTGAAAGCAACCCCTACCGCGTCTCTACGAAGTGATATGACGTGACGCACACGCGCACGGTTACAGTCTATATGGAACATACACACGCGCGCGCGTACACACACATATATACACACACCTATTGTGCCACGAAATACGTCTGCCCACGCGATGACCCGATCAGATCTTAGGGCTATCTTCGAAAATCTTCTCTTACATCGTCGCGTCTTGGCCCCTTATTGTTTTAAAAACTCGGCCTTGTTAAAGCGTCGTGACAATTATTTTTCTATAATTTTAAGTTTCATTCCATTCGATGAAATAATTATTAACGTTATCTGTGTTTTAAGAAAGATTGTATGTACGCGAAACAATGAAAATGTGTTCTTTTCAAAATTTTTTTCAATGTCATAGTACTTTGTATCCGTCCATTTTAATTAATTAAATGGAGATCTTCTGGGGAGATGCTGATTAATTAATATGTTCGTTTTAATATTTCAATTGAATTACATTCATTCAAACTTTTCCTCTATGTTCAATATAGTACATTCATACATTCTATGAAAAATCGTGGATCTCTTCTTTTCAATTAATTATCTATTATTTGTCGAATATTTACGATCAAATATTTCAGTAGGATGTATAGTTTCTTATTGTGCAGAGAAGGAAAGAAGCATAGATCCTTTTTAATTAAAAAAAAAGATTTTTTCAAAGTTAATTATTATTCTTACAATTCATCGCTTTCGAGAAAAAATATTTTCTCAACGAGATATCATGGCTTGTTTCCCTCGTGTGGTTCCCATCGCAAATCCGTATTTTCTTTCATGTCTGGAACAGCATCAGAGTTGTGCAGGAGGAATTGTAGCACCGTTTTCCGTATTCAGTCCCCGGCCACTTTTCTTCAACCCCCGCAACAGGCCAAACGCCTACGCCATCGTATAACGCCCACGACCACCCAACGCCCACGCATATGAGAAAGGGAGAGAAAGGGAGAGGGGAGGCAGAAAACGAACCAACAAAGTACGAAAATTTTTCTTTTTTTTTTCTTCTCATTGTTACGTTCACGTCTACTAACAAACGTTCTAATATGAAATAATTTAAATCAAGAAAGAAGATTTTTTTTTTTAATTAATTTTATCTTCTAAGATAAAACTTGAGATTTTCTTAAAATTCCATTTTTTTTTTTATTTAATCGAGGAATCATTCTTTTGCAAAATAATCATAGATTTGACGTGTTCGACGAGAAAAGGAAGAGTATTTTACTCTGGAAAAGTATGGAAATTCATTTAATTTGGATATAATATTCTTTGCATCTCTTATCGTTATTTCACAAAAGGAGGAGTAAAGTGAAATGGCAAAAAAAAAGAATAATTGCAGAGTTAAATGATATATATAAAATTTTGCGAGAGAAGCCGGAAAATTCTCGGAAGTAACCACTCTTTAGCAAAGTGTTTACTTGAGATACGACGCATCCTAGCGCACTACGTGCTTCAGTAATTGACCTATTTCCAAAGAATCGGCTGCACGCTTGCGCGAATTAAAGTAGTTGTTGCACAAAACAAGCGCAACTCGCCTCGTTGGAGTTTTCATAAAGTAACAATGTTCGTAAAATATTATGGAAACGTTTTATGGTAACAGATGCTCGAAAACGATCTTAATAAACACGAGGAGATTTATTCTAATGCAATTATTTTAATTGCAATTATTTAATTATTGTATATTAACGATGAAAAAAAGAACATTAAAAACATTCAATTGAGAGAAATAAAAAATTTTCATTTTGCTATGCTCAATATGAAGCTATTTAACGTCTGAGAGATAAGGAAAAATATTTTTGTATTCGATTACATTCCGAGATGGATTTTATAAAATAAAAGCATGCAATCATTGTTAATTTTTGCCGAAGTATCGGGAGCAATTAACGCCACACCCTCAACCACTGACAAAACATATATTCTCTCTTTGAATTTGAGAATATACTTGTTCAGAGACACGTGACTGTATTTTCTCGAGAAGCAAATGGGAAAATTAATTTTCGTAAATTCACTAGAAGCTATTCCGAAGAGGATACATCCGAACCCAGCCGTCGTTGTAATTACGGGGGAGCAAATTCTGTGAAATAATATAATTCGACGTGCTCGACCCGAAGGTTGGTTCCCATTGACGTCAGCCGTTGGTTCTGGAAACGACGAATCCCCGTGCTTCGAAAACTTAGTGGGGGACATACGCGTCGTGAGGAAATGATTCGTAGGAGGGGAGCATGGATATTGTAGCCAGGGACGTTGCATGAACATCACAACTCCAGGATCAAAATAATTTTTCGACAGATAATAGCTAAACAATAAAATCTTTTCATATCTATTTTTATCGGTGACTTAAAATATCGAATCATTAAACTTTAATTCCACGTATGAAAATATTTTAAATATAATTTTATTAGATTTTTATATGCATTCTCATTCTACTTAACAATATAGAAATCATCGATTTTTTATTTCAAAACACATTATATTCTGTGTAATATATATTAAAGTAAATATTAATTTAAATATAAGGAGAATAAATAGAATTTTTAATATTATTTTTAATATTATTTATTAAAAAAACAAAAAAATGTAAAAAATTTGAATAATTATTAATACATAAATAATAAATTTTATATCCATATAATATATAAAGACAGTAATGTAAACTTATATTAAGACAGGCATTTATAATCATTGATACTATCCTGCGGACTAGAAGCTATAACTAGAAGAGGTATCCCGAAGGAATAGATCGATGTTTCACTCTCTGTAGTAAGAGACGCCTGTTGCTGTAAAACAGGAGCAGCTTCATTCATGAATGGCAAAACGTGAACACATGTATCATTCTAAATTTCCGTGATAATTAAAAATTATTGTAATTATTAATTAATTTTAAGAATATAAATTCATTTTTTCATAAATTTTTGTAACTATTGATAATAATTATGCAATTATTATTTTAAATTATTTATTTAAATCTATAAAAAATAATATAATATATATAATAATATTATATACGTAATATATAATATTACTTCAATTATTTGCATACAATTAATTTTCAAATTACGTTAAAAAATATTATAATAAAATACAAAATACAAAATAAATCTAGTCTTT